ATGTTGGCTTGAGAGATATATATCTTCACACTCAAGACTAATATTGTCTTAAGCCTGGGAGCTCAAGAACTCAGCAAATGTGGTTACCAATGACTCGCCAATCAAAGAGACAATGGGTGATGAGAGTGAAGATATGCCTGTGTACCTTGTGATTTTTTCATTAACAACATGTAGCATATTATGTAGAAGAAACCTCATTGTATCTCTCTGAGCAAGTGATTTAATACGTACACATCCTAAACAATTTTTCATAGAAGGCACCAATGATAGGCTTGGATTTTTATCTGAGTCCCTGAGTTTTGTGTTGTAGTTCCGAAACCAGCATGCCAGTTCATGTAGCACTGACTACCAGTTGTCCAACAAACGGTTTCCCCTGTCCTTCCGGCCACAGTTACACTGCATTTCTCAGCCTCCCTTGCAGTTAAGCTGGAGCCATCATTGCAAACTGATCTCTGGCAAATCCCCAGCCCATAAAAGCTCCCCAAGGGCCCCTCACCCTGCCTCTTTCCCTGTGTGCAGGTGAATAGAGAGGTCTCCCAGGATCTAGAAGATGGTGGAGCCACAATGTGGGAGGAACCTAGTTCCTGAATGAATAAAAGGACTTCTTTTCACTTTTACGTTTTCAAGAAGCCACCTTTATTGCGTAAAGTCACTCAGATTTGAGGGTTTTTTTTCTTGTTGTTACAGCTGTTAGCCTGTAATTTATTCAAATATAAAATCTTTCTTGTGTCTTTTTTCCATGTTTCTGTTTCTTAACCAAACTTTAGCTGGCCTATATTCTTGTGCCTAATAAACAAGGGGAAATAAACTAGGCGAAAATATATGTTTTCATTATTGAGAAATATAAGAGAGGATGAGTAGCTAAATCATATGAACACCCTTGTAAGGATAATATGAAATATAACCAAGTCATAGATGCCTTCAGCATGTCTGAAAAGGAATAGGTGAAGAAAACAACATATAAACGATTCATATTGATTTTAAAAAACCTGATTGGATCAAACATAGTTCAGGCATGAAAATGTGCCATGAGTGACCTATATCACTGATCATCAATCCAGGTCTCCTTGCGTCAAGTGAAAGACAACCAAGACTTTTAAAGCTCCCTTTGGAAACCCTTGTCATCATGGAAATAAGTTCATGCTTCCTGGAACATGTTCATTTATCCTAGCTGTACTATTCTGAAAACCCCAGGTACGTTTTGGGTACTTGGAAACACTGAGTCTTTTAGAAATTTGAGATGCCAGCACAGTCCAAGTGTCTTTGTTTATTTTTTTGGCTGCGTTTTTTTTGTTTTTTGGCTGCGTTTTATTTATTTATTTATTTTTTGGTCTTCATTGCTGCACGCGGGCTTTTCTCTAGTTGTGGTGAGCGGGGGCTACTCTTCTCATTGTGGTGGCTTCTCTTGCTGCAGAGCACAGGCTGTAGGCACGCGGGCTTCAGTAGCTGTGGCACATGGGCTCAGTAGTTGTGGCTCACGGGCTCTAGAGCGCAGGCTCAATAGTTGTGGCACACGGGCTTAGTTGCTCTGCGGCATGTGGGATCTTCCCGGACCGGGGTTAGAACCCGTGTCCCCTGCGTTGGCAGGCGGATTCTTAACCACTACACCACCAGGGAAGCCCCCAATTGTCCTTTAAGTAAATTCCACAGTGATGCAGAATAAGATGTGGCAGTCAAAAAGATGTTTGTTGAATACTCTCATTACTCAGGAAAGTCACATATATGAAAGCCCTACACCTTATCCACCAACACATCCACTAAAAACCCATCAGGCTAGAATTCTCCAGTTAAAGAGACTGCACATGAAAATTCATAGAAAGGACAGATTTCAATACATCATCCTCAAGAAGTGATACTCTCAGAGGTTTGCACCACTGCTCTTTTACAAAATCCTCGATTTGCTTTTGATATGCATTTTCACCCTTTCAAATGCAACCAGATCTCAGTACATATCACATTTTTAATGAGAAGAAACAAGCAGGTGTTGATGTGCTATATATAACTGCTACAATTCCAGCTACATTTGTCTAATGGGTATGGATATCACTTTTCAACAATACACTAAGAAAAATGAAAAATCAAATAAAAACCTATTCATGTATTTGGCTTCTGGAGAGAACATATTTAAATGGTTGCTTTCATATATTTTGGGAGACTGGTGAAAATTAGCAACATTTAGAGATTACTGAGAAGACACTTATGTTGAGTCAAGCTCACATTTTTAACAATTTGCATATTACTTAATAACCCATGTGTCTTTCTTGAAAGCATCTATGAGTAGAAATATTTATTCCTTCATACACATCACTGATTGGCATTTCTGTTATTGAAATCCATGCTATCAAAGTGATGAGTCTTTACCATAGGTACGTCAACTGCTGTTCCTATCAAAACATCTGTAATAAGAATATATGCACTTTTAAACCATGGAAAGGTTGATATAACAATGTGGTTGTAATCTTTGCTCACAATTATCCAAAATCCTAACTTACACGATGCTATTGGTTGCAAGAAATTAAATCAACACCATTATCATCAACAACAAAGCATTTATTAAACATGTAGCCTCTGTAAATAAAGTGTTTGGGGGTAGAGGTAGAGGAGTTGTGTAATGTGCATTCAAAGAAATTACAGATTGTTGGAAAATATGAAAAATTAACATGAGAGTAATAACTACTAATATAGGCAACTTTAAAAATAATCAGTGCTTTAGATTTACTTAACTAAGGTTCATTGACAGCAAGTCTGAGTAGAACAAATAAAGTCATTACTCACACAAAAATGGGGCCCAATCTGGGCAAGTGCACATATCAGGCAATAGGAGGTGATCTAGGAAGGTAAGTCAGTGGGTCCGTTGAAGTCTGGGTGCTTGGAAACAGGACCTAGTCGTGTAGGTTTTCTGAAATGTGCCCTTTCTCAGTTTGAGGAAATTCCCTTCTATTCCTAGTTTGCTGACTGTATCATAAATGGATGTTGAATTTTGTTAGCTTTTTCTGTACCTTTTATGATTATCACACACACACACACACAAACTTACCTCATGTATTTTGGTAGTATGGTAATTTTGTATTGATTAGTGAATATTCAAGTAGCCTTGCACTTTGGGAACAAAACCCACTTGGTCATCATGTATGTATATACATTTCATATAACTGCTGGATTTGATTTGCTAGCATTTTGTTCAGTTTTGCATCTATGCTCTTGAGGGATACTGATCTATAAATTTTTTTCCTACAGTGTCTTTGTCTTGTTTTGGTGTCATTGTAATAATGGCTTCATAAATTGTGTTGGAATATGTTTATCCTCCTCTAATATCTGAAAGAGTTTGTGTACAATTGGTATCTTTTTCTTAAATGACTGACAGAATTCACCAGTGAAGCTACCTGAGCCTGGAATTTTTATTTTGAGAATGTTTTTAAATTATCAATTCAATTTGTTTAACACATATTGCTATTTATATTTTTTATTTATTCTAGTGTCAGTTTTAGTAATTTCTTTCAAACAACTTATTTACTTCATCTAAGTTGTCAACTTCATTGGCTTAATGTTTTTTATAATACTGTCTTATATATATTTAATGAATTTAGGATGCTCAGTGGTATCACCTCTTTCTTTCCTGATGTTGGATTCCTTTCTCTCCAATCTGGCAGGTGTGAACATGAATGTCTTCCAGGCCTCTGTGAACTCTGGGCGGGTGTTCAGCTTGCAGCACCCCAATGTTTCTTCTTTGTTGAGCCCTATGGATTTGCCCTGTGCAATTTCCAACCAGAGACTCATGAAGACCCCTAACAGGTCCCAAGAGCTCTGTTTCTGCATTGCTCCTCTATACTGCTTTACATCACAGATTCTAGCCACGTCATTCTCCCTGCCTTCCAAGATCTGTCTCCTCATATCAGTGATATGACTATTTCCATCTTTGGTCCATTACATGCCTCCAGGCTGAAAGCCAAGGTGATTGGAGAGCTTACCTCACTGGTTTCTCTTTTCAAGGGGATCACAGTTCTGCCCCACCTGTTGTCCAACATCTGAAAACAGTTATTTCATATATTTTGTCCAGTTTACCAGTTGTTTGGAGTCCTGATAAGTCTGGTACCAGTTAATCTGCCATGGCCAGAAACATTAATGTTTTATTAAAGACGGGAGAAACTGAGACTCAGATATGTATCTTTTTCAGTGTATACAACTAATAAACATGATTAAACACCCCAGCTATACTTTCCCACTCTATCATGCTGCCTCTCAACTTATTCAGCAGATGTCTATGGAAGGCACAGATAGAATTTTGCTAGATTTAAGATAATCCCTCAAATTTATCTAATTGGAGTAAAATGATATATTCACGTGAAATAATATAAGACAGTGAATTATACAATCTGTGCTAGCAAAGTTTAAAGAAGATGGGAAACAATGTTTTGCAAAGTTGTTTTAACTGGGGAAAGCTATTGCACGTAATAGAAGTATAAGCAAAACAGAAAATATAATACTGAGAAAATATTCAATGGTTGACATTGGTGAGAACTTTCTGATCTTAATATGTCTTGATGTCAACCATACTGGTCTCATTGGGGTCAAGCAAAGTCGTTCTTATCTTTTTATCTTCTCTACAGCCCCTGAAAGAAGTCTATTTGACAATTATTTAGTGTCTCCATTGTAAGGCAGAGATCCTAAAAGCTCATTTATTTTAATCAGATTGAAGGCCTTAACAGTAAAAAAACCAAACACATTTTAGCTTTAGTGGACAACTTAAAATGGTTTAAAGCAACAGATTCCACAGAAAACAATTACGAGCACCTAAAAATCTCAGTGTAATTGCATTAGTTATTTACAATTTGGTTTGCATAAGGATTTATTTCATAATTTAAGGTATCTGTATATGAAGGAATAGACTTGGTAAAACAGCCAAAAAACAAACAAACAAATCACAAAAGAGTTTACCTATGAGATTTATTATTGTTAAGTGTCAAAACGTACTCCTCATTGTACAAGCAAGTGACATGCCCATCACATAGCAGAATTCCTGAGTTTGAGGCTTTTAAATAAATATTAGCATCCTTTATATTACGGTTGCTGTGAAATACCCAGAAATGGGAGCCTTTGGCTACTTCTCAAAGCTGTTCCACATTTGCTGAATTTGTAGATGTGCTAGGTGTTACAGGTAGACGTTTTTTCCCGTTGTCTCTGGGTGTTGGTGGTCATTTGATTGTACCTAAAACAAAAGAAACTAGTTTGCTGGTATTTAGGCAAAAAGACACACAGAATTATTGACGTCTTCTTAGAATGATTATGCACATAGGATGAGAAAGAATCCCAAAGTGAGTGCAGACAGAAGGAGGTCAATTAGTACATAAAAAATGGTTGCTGGAGTGGATGTATTGAGCATGCATTTGCCTCTAAGCCTAAATGTTTGAGAAAGCATCTCTCACTGAATCATAATTTCTAAATTAAAGGTAGAGAAAAGCTGTTGAGGATCATTTCCACCCTGACCCATGTGATATGTGTGATGGCTTGTGGTTCATCACTATCACTTTTTCCTGAAAGTGTGAATTAAGCATCTTGATATGTTGAGAGAAAACCGTCACTGTAGTCCTGATGGTCTGAGGCGGACAGTCAACAGCACACAGAAATCACATGTGTTTTCAAACGTCTATGACTAGAGTAAAATAAAAATGGGCTCTGTTGTACGTATTAGTCAGGAGTCTCCTGACTGCAACCTGTAAGAACAGCTCACTCAAACTTGACTCAACGTACAGGGCACCTTGCTGTCGTGAGCCTCGGGGACCTGTACTAGCATGGTTTCTGGGCTTCTTTCTTCTGTCGGTCAGGACTTGGGAATTTGAATGATCTAAAGTTGGGTTCCTCAGACTTGATACTCATCCTATTTTGGGCCAGCTCATTGTTTCTTGTGGGGGCTTTTCTGTTTATTGGAAGATGTTCAGCACCTTCCTCAGCCTCTACCCCACAGGTACCAGTATTGCCTCCTGCTCTAGTTTGACAACCACAAATGTCTCTAGACATTGCTAAAGGTCCCGTGGGGAAAAAGATTTTCACCAGCTGAGAACCACTGGCCTAGAGATTAATAACATGTACTGCATAGATTCAAATTCTGTCACCATCACTTTCTAGCTATGTGAACTTGAGCAAGGTACTTCACTTCTATGTGCTTACATTTCCTTATCTCCTTAATGATGAGTCTAGCATTATCTACAAGATAAGGATACTCTGAGGATTGAGATCTTACAAGTAAAATTCTTAGAACAGTGCTTGTACCTAGTCAGCCTTCTGATGCTAGCTCTGCTATCTGATGCTAGCTCTTAACAGTAACAGCAAGGTTCCCTTCATATGGTAAAGAAATGGCTTCTGGCAGCACCACATTCAACAGAACTAGCTTAATAACTTCAAAGGAATCAACAGCTTTTTTTCTCCCAGGGCATCAACTAGTCCAGCTTGGGTCATGTGACTGTGTCTTGAACCAAGTACAGCTGCCAAGGGGATGGAGTCCTGTGAATGGCTAGGCTTGGATCAAACCAATCCCATAGCTTAAAAGAAGAGACTTTAGTCAAAGAAGTGAGATGGAAAAGCATAATGGACAGGCAAAGTCCAAAGCCACCATGGTCCACTTCAGTGTACAAAAACATGTGCAAAGTAGACTTCCTACCTTGGCAACTGATTCACAGGTCATGAAAACGTGTCTCTAGTCACATTTTGGTGAATCTCCTGGGGCAAAGAGGTCAGCAAATGATCAGACCAGACAATATCAAGATGTGACAAGAAAATGACCATCTAAAAAGGTATCAGAGGCAGACCTGCTATCCCCAAAACTAGAGGCAGGGAAAGCCTGGTTGCAGCAGAAGAAATGGACATGCTGTTCTTTGCCAGTTTTGTAATGAGAAAGACAAAGCCGGAATAGTATTGATCAAAGCCACCATTCATTGAGTTCTTCCCAGGGGATAGATGCTATATTGTGTTATCTCAATACAACATCTCTGCATGGTCATTGATATGATTCCCATTCTTAAAATGAGGAGACTGAAGGTTTTCTAGAAAAGATGAGTAAATGTGGCTAAGGCTCACAACCAGTAAGGGATGGAGCCAGAATTCAAGCCTAAGCTTGTCTGACATCACAGCTCCTACCCATCCCCACACTGCCATCCCAGAGTCTGACAAAAATGCACAGGAAAGCTAAGCTACCAGATTTTGGGTGGGGTGTGTGTGTGGGTACATACTTACTGAAGAAGACAGGGCATTAATTAGGGCTTTCCTGATTGGCAAGTGAGCCCAGCAAGCACTGCTGTGTGAAATCTCCAAATTTCACGTACTAGGGATGGAAGTCCAGACAGGATGAGTCCTCCCTGCCAGAAATTCACTTTTCTTGCCTTATGGTTGTCTTGAGTTTTTGCGCTTTCAGATGTTGCCTTTTGTTTAACAACCCAGCTCAATTCAACTTCTGGTCAGGGCTAGAGTTAGACAAGTGGTCTCCATGGATAAGAAGAAAACAAATCTCAAATAATAAAATTTACACTTTTTTCCGTACATTCATTACATAAACTGCATGTGACATAACATTTCAACTTCATTGGAATTGCTTTTCACGTCAGTTTCCTCCATTATTTGTGATTGGATAGCCCTAGTTATTCCTACTTGGTAAAGTCTTGACCCGGGTTAGTTGCACTGAGACACCCATATTGTGAGTGATGATGCAATGAACATGGGGTTGCAGATAACTCTATGAGATCCTGATTTCAATTCCCTTGGAAACCTACACAGAAGCAGAATTGCTGACTCATGTGATATTGAACACATTTCTTTTTTTTTTTTTTTTTTCAGTACACGGGCTTCTCACTGCTGCGGCCTCTCCCACTGCAGAGCATAGGCTCCGGACACGCAGGCTCAGCGGCCATGGCTCACGGGCTCAGCTGCTCCGCGGCATGTGGGATCTTCCCGGACCGGGGCACAAACCCGCGTCCCCTGCATCGGCAGGCGGACTCTCAACCACTGCGCCGCCAGGGAAGCCCCTCCCATAGGTTTTTGATCATCGTGTTTTCATTGTTATTTGTCTCTAGGTATGTTTTGATTTCCTCTTTGATTTCTTCATTGGTCACCTGGTTATTTAGTAATGTATTGTTTAGCCTCCCTGTGTTTGTGTTTTTTACGTTTTTTCCCCTGTAATTGATTTCTAACCTCATAGCGTTGTGGTCAGAAAAGATGCTCGATATGATTTCAATTTTCTTAAATTTACTGAGGCTTGATTTGTGACCCAAGATATGATCTAACATGGAGAATGTTCCGTGTGCACTTGAGAAGAAAGTGTAATGTGCTGTTTTTGGATGGAATGTCCTATAAACATCAAGTAAATCTATCTGGTCTATTGTGCCATTTAAAGCTTGTCTTTCCTTATTAATTTTCTGTTTGGATGATCTGTCCATTGGTGTAAGTGAGGTGTTAAAGTCCCCCACTAGTATTGTGTTACTGTCAATTTCCTCTTTTATAGCTGTTAGCAGTTGCCTTATGTATTGAGGTGCTCCTATGTTGGGACCATATATATTTATAATAGTTATATCTTCTTCTTGGATTGATCCCTTGATCATTATGTAGTGTCCTTCCTTGTCTCTTGTAACATTCTTCATTTTAAAGTCTATTTTATCTGATATGAGTATTGCTACTCCAGCTTTCTTTTCATTTCCATTTGCATGGAATATCTTTTTCCATCCCCTCACTTTCAGTATGTATGTGTCCCTAGCTCTGAAGTGGGTCTCTTGTAGACAGCATATATATGGGCCTTGTTTTTGTATCCATTCAGCAAGCCTGTGTCTTTTGGTTGGAGCATTTAAACCATTCACGTTTAAGATAATTATCGATATGTATGTTCCTATTACCATTTTCTTAATGGTTTGGGGTTTGTTTTTGTCAGTCCTTTTCTTCTCTTGTGTTTCCCACTTAGAGAAGTTCCTTTAGCATTTGTTGTGTAGCTGGTTTGGTGGTGCTGAATTCTCTTAGCTTTTGCTTGTCTGTAAAGCTTTTGATTTCTCCATTGAATCTGAATGAGATCCTTGCTGGGTAGAGTAATCTTGGTTGTAGGTTCTTCCCTTTCATCACTTTAAGTGTATCATGCCATTTCCTTCTGGCTTGTAGAGTTTCTGCTGAGAAATCAGCTGTTAACCTTACGGGAGTTCCCTTGTATATTATTTGTCATTTTTCCCTTGCTGCTTTCAATAATTTTTCTTTGTCTTTAATTTTTGCCAATTTGATTACTATGTGTCTCGGCGTGTTTCTCCTTGATTTTATCCTGTATGGGACTCTCTGTGCTTCCTGGACTTGGGTGGCTATTTCCTTTCCCATGTTAGGGAAGTTTTTGACTATAATCTCTTCAAATATTTTCTTGGGTCCTTTCTCTCTCTCTTCTCCTTCTGGGACCCCTATAATGTGAATGTTTTTGTGTTTAATATCCCAGAGGTCTCTTAGGCTGTCTTCATTTCTTTTCATTCTTTTCTCTTTATTCTGTTCTGCAGCAGTGAATTCCACCATTCTGTCTTTCAGGTCACTTATCCGTTCTTCTGCCTCAGTTATTCTGCTATTGATTCCTTCTAGTGTATTTTTCATTTCAATTATTGTATTGTTCATCTCTGTTTGTTTGTTCTTTAATTCTTCTACGTCTTTGTTAAACATTTCTTGCATCTTCTCGATCTTTGCCTCCATTCTTTTTCTGAGGTCCTGGATCATCTTCACTATCATTATTCTGAATTCTTTTTCTAGAAGGTTGCGTATCTCCACTTCATTTAGTTGTTTTTCTGGGGTTTTATCTTGTTCCTTCATCTGGTACGTAGCCCGCTGCCTTTTCATCTTGTCTATCTTTCTATGAATGTGGTTTTTGTTCCACAGGCTGCAGGATTGTAGTTCTTCTTACTTCTTCTGTCTGCCCTCTGGTGGATGAGGCTATCTAAGAGGCTTGTGCAAGTTTCCTGATGGGAGGCGAGACTTCTTGATCTCTTTAGCAAGATGTAAGATTGAAAGTTGTATTTAGAGAACTAGACCTGATGGTTTAAGTTAAGGAATCCAGAGGGAAAAGAAAGGGGCAGGACTGGGGTGAGGTACCCACTTCTTCTTCCCCTGGAGAATTGTGGAAAGAGAAAGATGAAAGGTGGGAGAAAGGAAAGCAATTAGATATCATGGGTCTTGATGGCTTCTCTTTGGGCTGCAGTTTAGAGAGGGCAGATGTGTTAGAGAAGCATAGGAATTATTGTAAGGAAAAGGGAATTTTGTCCAGATTCCAACTGGAACTCTAGAATAGACCTTTCCTTCGTTGTTCTCTTCCATCCACATCCTTCTATCCTAACCCTACCTTACCAACCTCTAATGCGTCTATATGAAAGTAAGTTTGGCTTCCAAGCCTGGTTATGCAGAGAGAAATCCTTCAATTCTCTTTCATGGGCCAGGCTCATATCCTGTGTGGAATGGAAGAGACCCAGAAGTTGCCTTGTCCTCTTCAGAAGGGATTTAGAAGGTATTTGACTTGAGATCCATTAGGACTGTGACAGCACATCCTGTGCCAATAGGTGGGGCAGCCTTCAGCAGAGGTTGGGAAAGGGCCAGCCAGGCATGGGGTGGATGGAAGGTATGTCAGATCCAAGGTAAAACTAGGTCATCAGGGAGAGCTTCAAGATGCTGATAAAGCCAAGAGAGGAAGGGTCATGAGTTACCCTGGCCACAGACGTCATCCATAAGCACCAATGGCAAGAGGTGTTTCTGCATATCCTCATCCCCTACCTCCATCTGATTTTAATTTTTAGGAAAGTCATATGATAGGGTTTGTCTAAATTCAGAGTGGGCTGGGTCCCTGCAGTTAGAACTGCAACTGTTTGCATAATGAAGATGAAAAGGTACAGGAAATCAACTCTGTCATCTAATTTATGATGGCCACAACCACTCACTGTTGGCCAGACTTTGGGAATTTGAGCTTGCTGCCTACTGCATGTAAGTGAGAAGGGCTGGCCAGAAGAGAGGATGGACAGTACAGTGACCTGGCCCATAGCCTGGACTTGCACACAGCCAGCAGCAAAGCAGCCACTAGCAAACTGGCCGGGAGACATGAGCAATTGAGGCAGCTTAATCTAATTTTAATAAATATGGGGATTTTATTTCCCTCAAAAAATAACAAAAACAGAAAAGAGAGAGCCACTGCAAATATCCTCCGTTATACCCATTCATGCCTTGAGGCTAAATTTCAGCTCTGTGCTGATATGGGCGTTCTTAGTTTCCCTTTTGTTGTGCTTTAAAAATGTATTTGCATATTGCAAAATACTCCACAGGCATAAACTGAAGTCTTGATCCTTATACATAAAATATCCAAAATAAATTATGTCAAAAAAATGAAACTGACAAATATTTACAGTTAGCTAGGCATCGTGAGAAATAGAAATGAGGGAAGGCGTGAAGCTGACAATCGAGTTACAGTGACGGATATCAAGGCATGAGAAGCTTGTGGCTGCCCATGGCAAGAAGAGGCAGACTCAGACTGAGCACAATGCCCAAGAAACAGAGAAGGGAGAGACCACCTCAGCCAGTGGTGGGAGCTGGGGTTTACCCTGGAGGCTGAGCCAGATAAAGGGTGGGACTGGGCAGTCATGGGGGCAGATCAATCTACAAAGGATGCTATACATCAGAAATACAATGCCAATTAGCCCAGCCTGACACTCCTTGTATAATTTTCACACTGTAAATCGGCCCAGCTACAACCAGAGTAGGCAGCATCGCAGTGGAGAAAGTGACAAACCCACCCTACTGGCACTACTAGCTTAGTAGAGGATTTTTCCAAGTTGGGAGGCACAACCCAGGCCAGCCTCCAGTCCCAAAAGCAGCTTGCTGATGCCACCTGATATTGTAGTCCTTGGAAGCTGAAATTCTGTAATTACTCACAATAGTCAAGACAGGGAAACAACATAAGTGTCTGTCAGTGAATGAATGAAAAAAGACGATGTGGTGCACACACACACATTCACACACACAGAGGAATATTATTCAGCCATGAGAAAGAAGAAAATCCTACCATTTGTGACAACTTAGATAACTCTTGAGGGCATTATGCTAAGTGAAATAAGTCAGATAGTAAAAGACAGATATTGGGGCTTCCCTGGTGGCGCAGTGGTTGAGAGTCCGCCTGCCGACGCAGGGGACACGGGTTTGTGCCCCAGTCCGGGAAGATCCCACATGCCGCGGAGCGGCTGGGCCCATGAGCCATGGCCGCTGAGCCTGCGCGTCCGGAGCCTGTGCTCCGCAAAAGGAAAGGCAAAAAAAGAGAAAGCCCCAAAAAACAAAAAAAAAAAAAAAAAAAAAAAAGACAGATATTGTATGAACTCACTTGTATGTGGAATCTAAAAAAGACAAACTCAGAGAAACAGAGAGTAGAGTGCTGGTTACCGGGGGTTGAGGGAGTGGGGAAGTGGGGAGATATTTGTCAAAGGGTACAAACTTCCAGTTATAATAAGATTAATAAATTTGGGGATGTAATGTACAGAATGGTGATTATAGCTAATAATTCTGTATCATATAATTGAATGTTGCTAAGAGAGTAGATTTTAAATGTTCTCACTACAAAAAAGAAACAGTAACTATGTGACAGGAAAGAAGTGGTAGCCAATGCCATGGTGGTAATGATTTTACAGAATATAAATGTATCAAATCAACACTTTGTGCACATAGCCATAACCAATGCTATGTATCAATTATATCTCAATAAAACTGGAAAAATGTTAAAAACAGAAACTTGTTTAAGGTCATACAACTGGAAATGGTAGAACTGGCTTTGAACTTGCACTATTTTCAGAAAGTCTAGACCTTCCCTACTAGGAAGCCTTTCGAAGACAAAACTTTAACCACCCTGCCTTGTAATATGGGGGCTAAATTAGATGATCCAAATACAGAGCAATGTCTATGGCTTTATTCCATCAAAAGAATGATTTGATACAGAGATGAAAACAAATTCCACAAGGTCTCTTAACTTGAGAGTTCTTAACTTTGTTTGCTATGATCTTTGTTTACCTAAAGCCCAAGAACATGTACTTAATACGCCCAAACCAATACAGCCTGTGGCTCATGGCTAAGTCCAAAAAAAAAAAATCAGTATTTCCAGGTGGAGTAGGAGAAAAAGCAGGATGTATTGGCTGATTGCTTTATATAAAACAGAGAAGAAAGAGCAAAGAAGTTGCCACTCTCTTGTTTTGTACAAGCAGCACCCACCATAAAGATTTTGGGCTTCATAGAGAGAACTGGAGATCCTAATTCAGTAGGTGCCCAGGCAGAGGGGGCTTAGAACATGGGGAAATGGAAGGAGCAGTGGCCGGGCTAGGGTGCCACAGCAGAGTGAAAATTGCTCTTACAGTTATGTGTGTTGGCCTGGATGTGCAGAAAAGAGACATCCTTCCATTTCCCTGTGGAACAAATGTCAACAAGCATCATATGACAGATGAAGTTGGAATTTACCTTTGCCTGTTCTGAGAAAACAGCTCCAGCTTATGTCACTCTTATATGTGTGAATGTTGGTGCCCCCGGAACACGATAAGCATCTTGAGAGCAGGAACTGTCTTCCACTTCTTTGTAGACGTACCAGGTGGGCAGGTAGACGCCTTTCAATAAGTATGGAATGAAGGAGCTGTCCCTGCAATGGTCATTCACTTCCAGTTCGCTGTAGCATCTGAAGAGATGTGCAATAAAAGGAGAGTAATTCTGCAACTCATTGAATTTCCACAGAAACCCAGCCATAAATTATGAATATCCCCTCCCTCACGGGCTCCCCAACCTTTTCTCTTGTCATCACCTCCACATCATCTCTTCTTCCTCCTCTTTCCCAGCAAATCACATTACCTTTTCCTCCATGCTTGGCCGTATAGCCTCCTAAACCCAGGCATGTGGACATTTGTGCTGTCACCGCACCTGCTTATGTAGGTTTTTCACTAGCTCCCATTAAAGTCTGGAGCTCCTTCTCCATACTCTGGCTTTGGCACTTTTTTTCCCAGTATATTTTGATGAAACCAAATGGTTCTGACATATCCACATGTACCACACTCTGCCATAGGTGAATGACGAAATAGAGAAGGAAGACAGGAGAGTGGTGGGAAAAGTAGGTGAGAGAATGAGAGTAAAGAAGCAAAGCAATAATTTAAGTAGAAATACAGACATTACTAAAAGCCGCAGAAGATAAAGTATTCTAACCCTTAAAATGAGGTACAGAATGTGGAAGAGTATGGCAGTATATGAAAATACGAAGAAATTCAGTGTAACACCCAGAAAGTAGGGTGGGGAGAGACAAACAAAATCGAATTGTGGCATGTTATTCTTTCAAAGGCGAGAAGGAAACTTACTTAGCATGATATGATCAGAGAGAATAGATTAAGCTTGAAGACAGTGGGGCTGAGCCTGAGTTACTGAGAGATCAGAATAATTTAGGAGAAAAGAACCAGGTCCCTCCGAACCTGCTAACTTCCTGACTCTGTGACATTTCTCTTTCCATGTCCCAGACCCACTGAAATGCCAGTTGTCTGTGATAGAGCCCCATGGGGTTCAGCGTTGGAAGCTGTCATGGCCACATGCAAAAGGTGAGCTTAGGGTACCCGGAACATAAAGTGCTTCTCAGAGCTCTCCCCACCCCGCCTGCCATCAGACCTGCCTTTGACATTTTAGGACTGAGGTCAAGAGTACATGTATCATAAATCTAAATAGTAAATTATATCAAGCTAACAACCATTAAAAAAAACTATTCTTTTTTAAAAATTTTATTTATTTTATTTATATATATTATTGATTTTTGGCTGCATCCGGTCTTTGCTGCTGCACACGGGCTTTCTGTAGTTGCGGTGTGCGGGCTTCTCATTGCGGTGGCTTCTCTTGTTGCGTAGCACGGGCTCTAGGTGTGCAGGCTTCAGTAGTTGCAGCATGTGGGCTCAGTAGTTGTGGCTCACAGGCGTAGTTGCTCCACGGCATGTGGGATCTTCCCGGACCAGGGATCGAACCCGTGTCCCCTGCATTGGTAGGCGGATTCTTAACTACTGAGCCACCAGGGAAGTCCCCCCAAAATATATTCTATCTCCCTACCTTGGTGAATATAGATTTTTAATAATCTGGAAATTCAGCTTCTAAAATTAAAGCTTTTGGAGTCCATGGAATACTCTACTGAAACTTGGAGGTGCAGAGAAAGCTGGTCTTCAGTCTTCAAATCCTGCACTTCCTACACACAACACCCTCGTTTCCCAAACAGGCTTCATCCTGTACCACATTTACATGGACATCCTCACCTGCATATACAAAGCCAAATTTTTTTCACATATTTTCCCTGCAGAAAGCTACCCTTTGGCTTCCTTTGACCACTCCTGAAGCCCACATCTTCCAATCTAGCAGTTCAGTCTGTCCACAGGAAGATGGAACAGGGGGTAGTTTGCACTGGCCCCGAAAGCAGGCTTGGGACACATGGAACACGGTCTAGAAGTGAGGACATAGTCTCTTCTTGGGCTCACGCCCATAACCCTGTATGTTCTTTACTTTGTGGGGAGGGGTGCAGCCAGGGGACGACCAGAGAGAAGGCTTCAAAAGCCTGATATCCAAGGCCTGTCTTGAAGCACTGCCCCTGTGGTCATTAATTGTGCATACTGGGCATTTACCTGTGGAAACCACTAGGCTAGTCTGAAAATTATGGATAGCAGTGAAAAGGGATACAGTTAAAGTGATAAATGGGAAGGATAGTTCAATGGTTATATTAGAAAAAGTAGGTAATCAACTCTCAGACCTCACAAATCTCTACCAGGTTCCCGGTCTCAATAAATGGCACCACCAGGAACCTGGACGCACTCTAAGTTTCTCCTATGCCCTTGCCACCGTATTCTGCTTCACCCATTCCATTTCCCAAATGCCTTTCACACAGACTGCTGAGTGCAAGGCCACCCTCTGATATATGGCCCTTGAGTAGGCTGATGTGCTGAGGGGCAGGGAAGGGACCAACAGCCACGTGAAGCCCCTTGTCAGGAACTTCTTACACATTTTCTTTTGGAAGAGATTGACTCTTGAAGGGAAGATTCATGTTGGATTAGAGAGGAGTGGTTAGGCCATTCTGAATCTGTATGTCCTTGTGCACGAAACTATGAGAGGAAAAAAGGAATCAGGCTTTCATTCTTTTTGTTTATTTTTAGGGTAGTTCATCTTTAACATTGACCAGAGCCATACTCTTCAATGGTAACGTACCCTTCTGTTAGGGCATCAAGAAGCTAGTTTACCTTTCTGCCTTTATACTTGTGCTCTCTTCTGTCATCCCTCCAAACCCTTGACCAGTTGGCCAATTGGATCATCTTTGAGAATCCTTCACCTTCCAGGGACCTTTAAGAATCCCTTACACAGCAGTGCCCATAGCTCAGGAAACACAGCTCTGCTCAAGCCTGGAGGTGAAGGCTTCTAGCTTGGCTGGACAAAGATGTGAGAACCCGAGTGTGATGTCAGCCGACCACGTGGACAATTTTAAGTCAGCCCCAGTGTGTTCTCAGCTGCCCAGCTCTAAATAGAAGTCTTATGGGCAACATGGAACCTCAGCTGTTTTATAACCATCCTCCCAAACTTCAAAGCACTTGGCCCAGATGAGCCAGTGAAATCAGATATACATATATATTTTTAATTTTAATTTTATACTTCTCATGTCCATGCAATTGGAAGCAACTGTAAATTAGGTGTTACAGCACTGTAGTTTGGTTAGATGCAATGGTTTAGAAATGTAGCTTTAGTTTGTGATGAGATAATAGCTGCTTTGCTTTGTTGTGACAGTAGCAATAAAGTTACTACGATGTAAAATGTGGTAACCAACCCAAACTACTGAAACAAAGCCACAAATCAGAGGCTGCCCAACTCTGAGAACTTTATATGCAGAAGTGACAGTGGGTTCCGATCTCTGAACAAGTAGCACAGGGAACCCTGTCATAGCCATTATATGGGTCCTCTTTGCTGTCTGTCAAATCACGTTCCCCAAACTACGTGGTAAAATTCTGTTGGGATATAGAAAAATTTAATGCCGTTTACATCACACAGAGGGGAGACTTTGTTGAGCCTAAGCTGGTATTCAGATGTGTCTGGACAAGTATGAAGAACTGATATATTGTTCAAGGTCTCAAGGAACCAATTTTCTGAGAAAATTGGCTGGGAAAGTACTCTTTTGTACCGTTGCCTGGGAGAAAGCCTGAGATGGAGAGGGAAGTATCATATTTACGTTAGATATTGCTTCCTATTTTGACTTTACCTTGCATGCCTGTACCTTGTAGACTGTGCTATAGGCGAAGGTTGAATTTTTTTTTTTGAAGGAAATGTAAGCTAAGGGGCAAACACACTAACAGTTTTAATGCTCTGGTGATGCAATGTGCCATGGAGTGCAGGAGAGACGCATTTTCACTGGAGGGCTCCCAAGTAGTGAGGACAGAAGGGGGCAGGTGGAGAACTTTGGACGCAGCAGGAGAGAAGTAGGGCCCTTGGCGCTGGTCTCAATGTTCTTATCAATCTTGGCTGCAGTTACGGTGGCAAAGCAACACTGTCAGGGGCTTTAAGTTGAGCCAACGTTAACAAGAAAAGTAAGAGACAATCCATGAGCTCGTGTGAAGCAACCCAGGAATGCCGGGAAGTATTGAGGGGGGGCTGGGAGAGAGGGACATATGTGTGCCTCTTGCAGAGTACTTAGTTCCCAAAGGTTAGGCAAATACCAGCAAAATTTGGGCTATTACTGTGATTGTAACCCTGTTTGTACCGGAAGCTAGCAAAGCTAAGACGACATGAGTTACAAATGGTAAAGACTTTGGTGTGATACTAACAGCTAATATTTATTGAGTATTTACTATGTGCTAGAGATTGTTTTACATGCTTTTCATATATTATTTCATTTTTTACAGTAACCATGTAAAACAACTCTCACTGTTAGCTCCATTTCTCAGATGAAAGATTTGTAGCACTTCAGTCTTACCCAAGGTCATAAATACTAAGTGGCTGGCCAGAGCTGGGAACTGAACTCATAGAGTCTGACTCTCCAGCTGTGCTCATGGCTTTTACATGATTCCTCCCTTATTCACACTATTCTGAGAGCCACTTTTTGTATAGCATTTCAGAGCGATGTTTCTCTACCAGGCGATTTCCCTGGACCCTGAAGTACCACAAACACACCTGTATCAATAACTTTATATAGATATATAATACCATGCAAAGTATACAACAATGTAAATGTCTTCATATACACACACATCATAGGAAAACAATTTCCTGAGCCCATCAGAGAATCAAATTTCTGTTAATTTGGTGGAAAAGGACAAATGTTCTAAGAAACACTAACTAGGGCCCAGAGGAAAAAAATGTTACATTTTCTGCACAGCGACCCATTGTGAAGCCACCCAGTTTTCTTAGAATTCCATTTTAACTCACGCCAAATGGGCCCTCCCAAATGGCCCTGGAAATAGCATCCGGATGTTCAGATCCCTTACGTGTGAAAGGCATGCAACCAGATACATAAAATCCAGGGCTGGAGGACAGGGCTCAACTTTGTTTATAGACTTTTTGATTTTTTTTTTTTTGGCTGGTTAAAAAGCTGACAGACTGTATTACAGCTAACATTCCCATATTGATTATACCATTTCTGAGGCTGGCCTCTCTGTGACAGGAGCAGCAGAATTAGTTTTTTCCTTG